CCAGTACTTCTATCACTCTATCCTCATCTCCTTAGTTTATGGCATAAAAGAATTTCTACAAAGAACTTCCTGGACAAACACAGTTTGTCTATTCGTGTTGTCTCACAATCCCCCTTGTCACTGTGTCTTAAATTCAGACCATGTATTTGACACATCACTCTCCTAAAGTAGTTCTGGCCAACATCAAGACTGTATTACACTCAACCAAACTTGTTCTCACTGTACTTCGTATTCCAACAGTAAATGATGAATATTCAGCCCTTCATTTTAGAAAGATATTTTCCATTCTTATTAGAGGACCAACTCTCTCTCCTCTCCTTTCTACCTTTGCCTTTGTTTCAAAATTATATTTTTATTAATTCTTTGAGAATGTCATACAGTATATTTTGATCATTTTCACAACTCCTCTCTGATCTACCACTACCTCCCTACCCACTCAACTTCAAGTCTTTTTTAAGCCCTCCGAGTCTCACCCCTCATCAGAAGAGGTTCTTTGTGCAGCAGATGTGGCCCATGTACAGAAAATAAGATACTGCCCAGTGCTCAGCTCCAAACGGTACATCCATATCACTCCCCTGCCCCAGGGCTCAAGAATTGTCTCAGAAGAGAGGGTACAGCGAGTGTAGTCATTCACTGACTCTTACAGTGACGGTTTCCTGGACACAACATAACAACTACACAAACGAACACACAGCAATTGTGAGAATAAGCACAAGATCAAGCCAGACAAAATCTCAGCAGAAGTGGGAAAGTGAGACAGAGTGCCATCTTGTCCTGACAGGGTTGTTGTTTTGTTTGTTTGGCTTTTTTGGACTTTTTTGTTTGCTTGGTTGGTTTTGTTCTTGTCAACTTGACAATCAAGCTAGTTATTGGGAGAAGAAGAACCTCAATTTTAAAAAAGCCTCCAAAACTGGGCATGGGAGCACAGGCTGTTCATTCTAGCACTTGGGCACCAGAGCTCTTTTAGTTCCAGGCCAGTATGGTCTACACTGTGAGTTCCAGAAGAGTTAGAAATGCATAGTTAGATACCGTATCAAACAATAGCAGGAGGAAGGGAGGTTTACAGGAGGATGGATGGATAGATGGATAGATAGATAGATAGATAGATAGATAGATAGATAGATAGATAGATAGATAGATAGATAGACAGACAGACAGACACAGACAGACAGATAGATAGTATCTCTCTCAAATTGCCATAGGCAAGTCTGTGGAGGTACTTTCTTGATTAATGACCGATAAGAAAGGGCCCACCCCACTGTGGGTGTTGCATTCCATTTGCAAGTGGCCTTTTTCATTAGGGAAACCAGGCTGAGTAAGCCATGAGGAGCAAATCAGTAAGAAGTACTTCTCCATAGTTTTTGCTTTAGTTCCTGCCTCTGCTTCTCTCAGGGGACTATGACCCTTGGAAAAGCAAGCGAAATAAACCCTTTCCTCTGGAAGTTGTTTTTGGTTGTAGTGTTTTATCACAGCAATTAAAAACCCTAACCAAAACACACCTCTCTCCCTCCCAATCTTTGGATTCTTACCTTGGCATCAAGTGTTTCATCTCTCTGCTTTTCTCTGCCTTCTGTTGTCCCCCTAGATGCTAGCCACACTAAACAGCTTTAAATGTCAAGGCACAGAAAGTTTCAAATTTGTGAGCCCAGGCCTCTGAAAGCATATAGCCTATCTCCATCTTAGGCTTAAAAGCCAGCTTATAGTAAAAACAAACTAGACTCATTCCTGTTTATAATTAAGCCTCTGTTTCTCAAAGACTGGGCTATACCCATCCTTTAATCTAAACTACAAATTGTTCTATACTGCCTTTTCCAGGAAACAGAAATCATGCCTTTGTTTCAAAATGTTGTAATGATCATCTTCCAATCCTATCTTTGTTTCCAAAGGTTGTTATGATTACTTGTTATGAGGACCTTGCAAACATTTCTTTGTTTTAGGAGGTTGTTATAACTAACTTGCTATATTTATGTTCTGCTCCTGAATCCTAGCCTATTTTGCCTGCCAAATACTCCATTTAGATACTCCTTATCCCTGAGCTACGTAAACTCTGTCTTTCTCATGTCCAAGGCTGAACTCTTGAACCTAGTCTTTGAGGGAGGCAGCCTATGTACACTAATAAAAAAGCTTGATTTAATTAATTGCTTGCTTTAATTAATTTGGCCACAATGATTTGGGTTGGAGGTCTTCTCCTTCCATCTTTGGGATTAATAGCATCTCAACACCTACTTGGCATATATACATTGACATCTAACAGATTTCACAGGCCCAATGTGCCCCTCAAACAAATTTGTGATTCTAACCCAACCTGAAACTTCAACTCTCTTGTCCATCTCCGGAAATAATTATTATGACTCCATTAATAATATTTTCAGTCAAGTCCTAGAGTAATCTTTAAGTATTTTCTCAAAAAAATTATCTTTCTGCCTTCCATTAATCATCACCATCATTCTTCAATAAGATCACAGAAGAAAACTTGCACAGATTAAGCAAATACATACATGTCTTAGAGTTTCTATTGTTGTGAAGAGACATCATGACCATGGCAACTCTTACAAAAAAAAAACCACTTAATTGTGGCTGGCTTACCTTTCCGTGGTTTAGTGCATTATCATAATGAAGGAAAGCATGGCAGCACATAGGCAGATATTGTGCGGAAGAGGCAGCAAAGAGTTCTACGTCCATATTGGCAGGCAGCAGGAAGAGAGAGCCATACTAGGCCTAACTTGAACTTCTGAAACCTCAGAGCCCACCCCCAGTGACCCATTTCCTCCAACAAGGCCACACCTACTCCAAGGAGACCACACTTTCTAACAGTGCCATTCCCCATGAGACTATGAAGGCCATTTTCATTCAAATCACCACAAAACCCATACAGACAGAAGAAGTACACACAAGTACAAATAGACAGGTCCAGTATTTTACTATAAAGCCATCAGGTGGCTGCAATGTTAATTTTAAAGTTTCACTCAGATTTCATCACTCTTCTGCTCACAGGCTTTCTGACTCTTACAGTGAAGGCAAAAGTCTTTTCCAGAAGCTACACAGGTACATGACTGGGCTCCCACCGTGCTCTAAACCCACACCCTGCCCACCATTTTACCCACTCTGGGTTCCTGGCACTTTTGTTACTGCTCATCAGTGCTTCCTAAACAGATCCTTACTCTGCCTCAAGGCTTGATTCTACACTTCCACTAGGATGTCTACATTCTAAAAGACTTTTTTTAGAGAGATCTTCTATGGATTGCAGAACTGTAGAATGGTCCTAACAGTTCTATTTCCTATGTATAAATGGCTTACTTCATAACCATCTCCCTTTGGAATGAAGAAAACTAATAAATAGGGTGAGATATTCCTAAAAGCTTCGATCTACAGGTGTAAAGTGACCTTGAACCCCAGTCAGCTGAATGCCTGAGGTTCAGTCTTATAAGATGATGGAGAACCCAGGAAAGCTGGCCCTGTACTTCTGACTGACAGACATAATGAAAAAGTAAGTGGGTGCTGTTTCACTACACTGTTTGAGGTAATGTTTTACACAGGAATATAAAATTAATATACCTGTTTTAGAGTGTCTATTTCTATGATGAAACAACACGGCCAGAGCAACTTGCAGAGAAACAAGTTTACTTATCTTATGCTTCCAAATCACTGTTCATCATCGAAGGACATTAGGATAGGAACTCAAGGAAGGCAGGAATCTGGAGGCAAGAGCTGACCATGGAGGAGTGCTACTTACTGGCCCTCTACCCATGGCTTGCTCAGCCTGTTTTCTTATAGAATACAGGACCATCAGCCCAAGGATGGCACCATCCATAATGGGCTGGTCCCTCCCCAATCACTAATTAAGAAAATGCCCTACAGGCTTGCCCACAGCCTGGCGTTTTCTTAACTGAGGCTCCCTCCTGTCCATTGACATTAGCTAATGTCAAGCTGACATGTAAGTATCCAGTACAATACCTTCAATAAAATATACCAATATTCCCTTCCTTTCTTTTCATTTGATATAGGTTCTTCCTTCAGAGAACTGGGTATACAATGGATGGAATTTGAATATATAAATCTCAACTCTGGGCTCCAAAGGCAAAAGCACAAAATTATCTACTTCATTTTTTGGCAGTTGCTGAAGTCACTAATTGTACATATTCCTCAAAGCTATTACGTTGGAATAGATTCACTCTTCGGCTCATGCTAACTCCATGAGATGGAAGCCAACCTTGCCCTTGACTGTACACCCACTTTTTCTAGCCACAACTGTGAATACCTCCATTAATCATTAAACACACATGCTTTATATGTTTAACTGTCAGGAGAATCCATGTTTCCCCTTTACACCTTCAGAATAATGCTGTCACAGAAAGCATTCTGACTGACCTGGCTGTCTGCAATTAAGTTTAACAATTTTCCTTTCTTTTAGATACTACATCCTTAACAAAGACCATCCAAAAAGATAGACCTTTAAGTTTAAAAAAAGTCTTAAAATAGAAACAGCTTTCATTCACTGGGCTATGGACTATCAGGTGCCATATTTGTATCCATTTCCTAGAAGAATGAAAGTGCTTTCAAAATATATCTGTCATTTCTCTCCAGTGGCTGATCAAACCTGCCACTGAAAAATGTTCTGAACAGGCAACTTGTAGTGTAAGCATGGTTTATTTCTGTCAGAAACTGACTGCTGGAGTGTGAAAGAAACTCATTAAAAATCTCTTACTGTGATCTTACATTGTTAAAAAGAAAAAAAAAAACTATAAAGAAACGGCAAGGGGAGAAAAAAATGTAATGAAGTGTACATAGAGCCTATAGCTGCTCTCAGATGGTGTTTCTCTTATTAATCATTTTGCAAGCATTGAAAGGAGTATAATTAGTTCCACGAATATGGCATACATTGTTTTTTGGAAAAATCAAGTAAGTTAACAATTTCATATTATCCTAATATTATGAGAAGTTAAAGGAGGAGGTCAGAACACTGTAGAAAAAAATGCAAAATAAGCAATAATGCTATTTACCTTAATCTTAAAACAAGATTGACTGCGCAAGGACCTTCTCTGTAATCTTCATTAGCATTGGGTTGGCCCTTTGAAAACAAAACAACAGATAACATTGTAAGCTCTACTGGGAAGAAAATGAATAAAATCACAATATCTCTTGATTCCTATAGCACTTTCTGGAAACTTGAAAATTAGTGCTTATCCTGGCAGGTCTTTTTTGGTTTCAAACGCCTTTTTTAGAGGATCAGAAAGATGCTTAAAAAACATCCTGACTGTGGATGTGAATGCTTCATACAGACAGCCTCAGTCACAGGTTGGATTCTGTGCGTGAACGGCACTGTTGCAACTAGCCCAAATTAAGGCCATCCATTTAATGTGGCACTCTGCTGGTCCAGAGCGAAGGGCCAACATCCACCAGACTTTAGAGACATACAAAGATAAGGAACCTGGCCAGGGTCGGTTGTGACACTTGTAATTCCAGCATTCTGGCCATGGAAGCAGGAGAATTGCAAATTTAAGTACAGCTTAGGCTACATACCAAGAACCTGTGTCAAAAAACAAGAGCTAGGGATGTAGCACAGTGGGAGAACACTTGCCTACCATGTAGAAGGTGTTAGGATGTATCCCTAGAGTAGATCTGGTAGGGCGGGGGTACAGTGGGATGACTTACATACATTAAACATAAGCATCGCAGGTGAACACAGATTTAACGGGCAGTCACCCTGCCTCCACTTCTCCCCTATCATCCTGATACAGATCATCCATCATGGAGGCCTCTACAACACAGACTATTCCTGTGAATACCTGGGCTGGATCAGAACTCCTTGTTCAAGTGGGAAAATAAAAGATGTCAGATACAGCTTGGCTCTGCTGGGAACCTGCCGTGCAACCACAGACAGGTAATTCACAGAGCCCGTTGCTCCATTCACAAAACAGGTAAGCCACCTGTCTCAAAAGGTTGCTGGGGAAAATAAGAGATGTGAGAGCGAGCCATAAATTGGAAAATATTAATCAATATCGTCTCTTCTTCCTGCTTACTTCCTTTGCTTTCAGACCCATACTTGCTCCTCATTTGTCTTCTATGGGGAGGCCTCAGGGTTTTTGACTCAGTTGAATGATGAGTGTAAAGATCAACACTGAATCCTGCTTCTGCCTCTGAGTGGCTACATGGCCTTGCACAAACCGGTTAACCTCTGTGTGTCTTTCTGCAGCTCCTAGCCACGAACTAGCTATCAGACCTCAGAAGACTTGCGGTAGTCATGAAGCCCCTCTGTCGAAACACCTCCTCAACTCACAGCTGCTCCATAAGGAGAAAAGCAGGTAAAACAGGAGGGTATAAAATCAGAATATCACTGTACAACAAAATACCTGGGGCTATCCTGGGGTCCTGTATTCGTATCCTTCCCTTGATTGCCTTACCGCCCAACACAATCACAGCACAGGCCTCCTGTTACACTCTTGGTCTAAGTATGATGCGCACTGCACAGTCATTGAACTATTATTTTAATAAGACAAGTGATAGAGATGAATTGGCCCATAAAATTCAATGATAAAAGCATCAAGAGGGTATAGAAATCCAATCGGAAGCACAGGAGGAAAGTATCAATTAATAACAGTAGTTGATGGCTAGAGCATAAGGACTTAAGAATCCTTTTCTTCTCTTTGTTTATCTCACCCAGTACCAGGGATTTCTTTTTCTTTTTTAATTTTTATTTTTTATATTCATTACAGTTTATTCACTTTGTATCCCAGCTGTAGCCCCCTCCTTCTTCCCCTCCCAATCCCACCTTCCCTTCCTCATCTTCTCCTATGCCTCTCTCCAAGTCCATGAATAGGAGAGGTCATCCTCCCCTTCCATCTGACCCTAGCTTATCCGGTCTCATCCGCCAGGGATTTCAAAGGCACTTACATCATCTAGTTCTTTTCCAAAGTCTTATTTAGAGCTGAACTGATAAAAGCGGCTGATAGTTATGACATTCTCTTTCTTTGTATCTACTTAAAGAGATGGTTTCTTTGGTTGTTGTTTTTAAGCCCTTCATTTCGTAGCACTACCCTGATGTTGTCTGTCTGTCTGCAATTGCTGAGTTTCTCTATGAAGCTGTCTGCAAAGTATCTCAAATAGGAATGACTGGCAGAGGAACCCACCTGAGAGTCATGCACAGAGAGGGACTGTATTTGCTCGGGGATGCCACCAGCGTTCACTGAGATCTGTCAAGAAAACCGATATTATGACATGCAAGGAAGCCAAAGGGAGATGTTATCATTGGGACATTACAATATCCTGATCATCAGAGATGCTAGTTTTAGAAGACCGTAAGCTGCAACATCTGGAAACGCATGTCCCAAGTGCTGCTGGCCACCCTCGGACTTCAGGGCCCATTTGTTCTGCCACTCAGAATCTCATGGAGAAGGAAAATCTATGACTTTAATGAATTCTGGGGTACCCATGCAGTTTAGGAGAAACCGTATGCTTTAAACTAACAACTTATCTTGTGGTAGCATTTCATCTAATGTTAAAGGGACCTTAATGAAAAGAGATGAAGAGTCAGCAAAACCTGCCTTATACAGCAGTACTTTGAATAAATTTTTGCTGTCATTTGATAAGGTAAACGGAGTGAAAAACAACAACAAAACCATTTCCCTAAAAGAAATGCAAGAGTCAAACTCGAGATTTCTCTTCTGGTCCTAAGGTGTTTCTGCCTCAAGCTCTTCGTTTGTGAGCTCTACCCTGGAGCACAACCTTGAGAGATAGTCAACAACAACAACAACAAAACCCACCACAGTCAAAGAGAGATAGCGATGAAAATGAGCAAACAGGATCTTATTTCTAAAATAAGATATACTAAAATAAGCAGAAGTCTTTGCAACAAGCATGTCCTAAAGTCTCAGAGAATAACATTCTTGTTCCTGTGCTCATTTAAAAATAACTTCATTTGGACTGAAGTGATAGGAAGAGGTGCATTAATGCCTCTGGTTTACTTTGAAAGGAATGGAAAAGTGAAGGTGGGCAATTGGATGAACAGAACACACCTGCGGAAAAGCACCTTTGGTAACTACTGAAGCATGGTAGCAGGTATGTCCCTATAAAGCGTTTTAATGTTGCTGTACGTTTGAAAAGTTTTATAAGAACATGATAGTGAAAATGACTCTTAGAAACACAACAGATCTCTGGCCACTTACCAGCAGAGGAAAAGGCCCTCTATCAAATACCCCTTCAGAGAGTCATTCAGGCTGATCTACAATCTGCCCCATCCTTCCCCAATCCCTTGCTCCTGGGCCATCCTCAGGTGGAGAGCCAGTCACGTGACTGGATAGAAGGGCCACACATCCTGCAACTTCCCATGTAGGCGTAAGTCTGTGTGACACGGCGGAGTCATTCCCAGTAGCACTGGACACAGGACTCCTCCAAATATGCAGGGGGTTCAGTGTAAGAAAGAGGTACCCCTACAAAATATATTCAGTAATGAACAAGTGCAGGTCCCACTGCCACCACTGAGAGCTAATTCTATGAAATCAGGCCACGGCCACACACTCCATTAACCAAAAACCCTACAAGAAAGCTGGCGCGATTTAGTGGCGGTCACCCTTCAACAGAAAAGTTTGCAGGGTTGCTTTCTTTCAAAACGGTTTGCTACAAGAAGGCTACTTCAATGGATATGAAGGAAGAAAGAAGGAAAACAAGAAATGAATGTTGAAGTCCCTCTGGAAACTGACCCTGACAGGCACCTCAGACTTGGTAAAAGAGAGGTAAATGCTTTAGCACTGGAAAAAAAGAGAGAGAGAGAAAAAAGGCATTGTCTGACTCCCAACTTTTCTTAGAGCTGGGCCCTGTCTGTTCTTTTTCTGCTTTTAATAACACTGTGGCAAAATGCGATGTGCTGTGCTTGACTGCATCCCACTAGAGCAGAAAACCGACATTAGTGCACAAATTAACCAAATCCAGGGGAATTCTGACTTGCTGATAATAATGTAGTAGAATCCAGTTTTGAGTTCTGATAAATATACTCAGATTATGTGAAAAACTAACACAGAGAGAAACTGAGTGAGGAATCTACCATCTTTGTAGCAATTCCACAAATTGAAAATTATTCTAAAACAAAGAGCTCACGTTTGGAAACACAGTGGATTTCTGATCACAGGTCTATCTTTGGTCACAAGTACTCTGGAGGGCAGTCACTGGATAAATGACAGCAGCTGGTACCTAGGCTGAGCAGCCTGTGACAGACAGGGGTCTGCACAATATATTTGTGAAGAAACCCGACCTTCTGTGCCTTTACACAGGTCTTGGCAACTCTGAACTTTAAAAAGCTTCCTGATTAGTGGCTAGGATCTAGATAATTGACTAGGAAAACTGCAGAGGCCACTCTGAATCCAGATATGCAGAATGGCATCCAAGAAGGTTATGTATCTAAGTTTCCAAGGCTTCTGCTTTGATGTCTGCCTGTGTAGAAGAAACAGAAAGAGAGAGAGAGAGAGAGAGAGAGAGAGAGAGAGAGAGAAGGAGGGAGGGAGGCAGGGAGGCAGGGAGGAAAAGAGGAAGGAAGAAAGGATTGCAGAAGTCATCAATAAGCTGACTTTGACTTGCGCTAAGCAGATTCTCCAAGAGGGATTCTACAGACATACATGTCTGTGAGCTGCCCCAGCATCAGAGAAACACCTTTCATCAGAATGGTTTTAAAAGCTAGTGGCAGTTTTTAAAAACCATCAAGCAACAGAAATAAATTTAATCTTATATTTAAACCTGGTAAAAATTAATTAGCTATAAATCCACATTAATTTCCCCAATGAGAATAAGACCCCAGAGTTGGCAAGCTGAGGCTTTCATGATTACCCTATCCTAGACACGGAATAACAAAACGCTTCAACAGCCTTCTTCTAGGATCTTCTTAGCTCAAGTCAAAGTCAGTTTGTCTGCTTATTTCTGAAATGTTTTCTTCCTTCATTCTTTCATTCTTTATTTGTTTGTTTGTTTGTTTGTTTGTTTGTTTCAGACAGGCAGTTGTCAAAGCAGAAGCTTCAGGAACTTAGATCCACCACCCTCTTGGACGCCATTCTGTATACCTGGATTCAGAGTGGCCTCTGCAGTTTTCCTAGTCAATCATGGGGATCCCTCCCTCTTCTCCTCCCATTCCCCTTCCCGAGTCCACTGATAGGGGAGGTCCTCCTATGGGGGAAGCTTCTTAAAATTCAGAGTTGCCTAGGCCTAACCCTAAGCTACCAAATTTAACTCAACTGGCTGAGCCTAAGAATCACTTCACTGTTTCCAGCATTTTGCCTGCTCTAACTGGAGGCAGGGCAGGAAATCTTTTCATGTCTTTTAACCCATGTATGTGGCTTTTAAAAGAAACTGTTTGAATGAAAGCCTTGGTGAATGTCTTCCCCTGTTAAAGGAAAGCAAAGGTAGCTCAATTAAAAGATAAAGTCAGCTTCATTTTTCACATGGAAAATTAAGAGAGTGAAGCAAAAATGAAAACAGTCATATAACAAGTACTTAGTTCAGAGTCTAACAAAAAGAAATTTCAAACCACTTCTCAAAAGAAAATCGAAGCAGTGGGGTGCACACCTTTAATCCCAGCACTTGGAAGGCAGAAGCAGGCAGATCTCTGTGAGTTTGTGGCTAGCCAGTCTATAGAGAGATTTCCAGAACATCCAGGGCTACACACAGAGAAAACTTGTCTCAAAAACAAAACAAAAATCAATAATGGATAGCAACTGGAAATTTTAGATAAGATTTATGAGCTAGGAAACCTCCTTAAATTTTTTTTTAAAAAAATTGAAAAATCGAGCCCTTAGCCAGGCCCTTCTCTGCATGCTTCCCCAAAGATGAAATGTTCCCTGGAAAGCAGGCTTTTTCCTCTCTCTGCATAAATCCCCATGCTGTCTAACACAGTTCCATGCAGACATGAGGTATGGGCCCAGTTTTTGATCAATTAATCCTCTCTGGTTCTAATATTAGTATTGTTGTTAATAAACTTTGGTCTCCATGGATTTCTGTAAAACAAGATGATAAATAAAAGGTGATTATCTGTTTGCTGAGAATTATTAATTACTAGTGGGTAAGTTTCCCAGAAGATCATATTTAAAAAAAAAAAAAAACTGGGCCAATTTTTCAAAGTGCTGGGTTATGAGTTTCAAGCTAACTAGTGAGAACTCTGAGAGCTTAAGTGTCCAAAGTGAAAATTCTTTACAAGGTAGAACCTCTAAATGTGGCCCAAGAGATACTTCTCCCTCTGTGCCCCACAGACAAACAGCTCCTCAGACCCCTTGACTTTCTGTGACAGCTGCTGTGATGCCTCCATGGACTCCTTAGCCTGCCGAGGATGGCACACAGCCGCTCACAAGCAGGGCACTCGTAAAATGCCACATCTCACTGGCTAAACCCGGCAGTATCTGAGCAGCTTTGGCTGAACTTCCCTTCAACTACATATAACATCCTCTGATCTTTTATCCCCATTCTGACCATATAAATATTATGACCTATTCATTCCTCCATTTTATGTTTTCACTGTAGTGCCTGGATATTCATGTTAGCAACAAACACAAAGGGTACAGTCAGTCTCCAAAGGGGACATACATATAAATAAAATACTGCCCTCGTTTTCTGGACAAAGACAACTGAACTGCAACACTTTTTGAGTCAATGACGGTGCTTGAAGCATCTTCACTTGTTCTACATCTAAGCAGGACTCACACTTTCAATTACAGAGAGTCTCAGATGCAAAATGAAAAAACCTGAACTCTGTGTTCTCCTCTAGTCACAGTGGGAATGTGGCCAAGAGAGGGTAGAGTTTGTTATACCATCCCAACACAACACAACCCAGGGCGTCCCGTTGTGGGGGCTCCACCGCTACTCCTACGGAGAAGAACAACATCCTAGAGCAAAGTTCATTGTTGTAAGTAGGAAACTGAGAGAGTGGTTCAAAGAACGAGCAGGAAAGAAGGCAGGATCTGAAGGAGAGCCAACGTTGGCGGCCAAGTACCTGAGCAATGACAGCAGGACCCTCTCACCACGGGGAGATGAAGAGAGCAGGGTGGTTGGAAAGGCCAGGGGACACGGGGCCCTGTGGCTCTGCCACAGGTTTGCTAAAAGCACAGCTAGCTATTGCTGCTTCAAACCCAATGAAAGATGGCGCTTCACTCAACCAAAAGGAACTGTCTGCTAATTAAAAACAGAAGAAGAAGAAGTCTAGGTGGGTATCATTTCTAGGCCACAGTTTTCCAGTTTTGTAATGAGGCTTTAGCAAGGTATGTATTAATTACTGTCAGTGAAACACTGGGAGCTATTTAAATATTCTCAAATTTCCTCTATGAGTATTAGTATGCTATAATCATCATTAGGCATTAGAATAATTAATCAGATGAAGGAAGAAAGTAAAAAAAAAAAAAAGATCTTATTTTTTAAGAAAAATGACCAGCTCTCAGAGAAGTCATGAAAACGGGTTTCTTGCTTACCTAACTCAGCCAGCACAGTTGAAAGGTCAGAGATTCAACCTGGAGTTCCTTGCACTTCAATGTCTTTTTTTTTTCCACAAATTAAAGAACGAGGCAAATTTTATCTGTATATTTTCAGTATTTTCTCAAAACTGAACACTATGAGCTAGAAATAATTATTTCCCTGTGAAGGCCAAAGATTCCACTGAGTGTGTTTCCATGTGATTCAACCGTCTTCTTGGCTACCTCATAAGTGCTATGATCATCCCACAGCAAGGGGAGCGCAGAGGCTCAGAGAGAATTCTGGGTAATCCACCACACTCTAATCAGGCCATGAAAACTCGGACAGAATCAAAACCAATAAACTCTAATTGCCTTTCCTTTCTCTCTTACTCCGTGAGATTTTGAGGACTGTCTCCCAAACAGACCCAACCCTGATGCCTAATGGGGGAATAAATAAATATGCAAATACATACAAGCATACATACATAATTACCAGTCCTCACCTCTGGGTTTTCTTCTTTCACTCTTCGTGACTGCAAAAACAATTACACGTCCATTAAAACACATGAGATACACCAGAAACACAATGCACATTGGCTAGTGGTGATCAGGGTTGTGTACCTTCTCTTGGGAGGCAGCTGCTCTCCCTTCCTCAGTCTTCTCATCCATCTCATCATCACTCCACTCCCAGTCTCCATCTTCAGTTTTATGGAGGTGGCCGCTTGACCCGGGAACTCGCCTTACCTGAAGTCAAGATAAGCCGTATTCTCACTGGCTGGCTGAGCACAGCCCTCCCTGGACCTGCTGCCTGGTTTATACAGCAGATGCACAAGACTCTGAAAGCAGTAACCTAAGTGGCTCTCAGTCCACACACAATGGAAGCTAACACACCAAGGGACCCTACAACGTGAAGACCTCCACCTCAGCATCCTCCCAAAACTACTGGGTTCTTGAAATGCGTAAGTATAAGTATCGAAGGTAGAACAAAACATTTTTAAGACTGCCGCCCACGTGATCCATTAAATATGGACTGCATTTTTCACATGCATTAGCAACTTTATTAGTTACCATGCACAAAAAGTCATGTGCCAAGTTTCAAAACTGCCTGAGGACATGCACCCAAGCTGCTGACTGCTGACGGAGTGAAGGCCGAGAAATCTGGGCACCTGATGAAGCACATTAGGCCAGAGTATCAGCGATCTAAAACCTACATCCACAGAGGGAATCCTCATCCATTGTCACGTTGCTCTTTTTCAGACCCTGACAGCATACCTGAATTCCAGGATTCTATCCAGCCTACTTGAGCAAAACAAAACAGCCTTAGACTACTCCTAACACGCTTATTAGTACATCTGACACCTGTGAGATGACAAATAGAGCCTCTTCATCCCCAACCTGGCTGTCATAATTAGGCTTCCTCTGTTACTGCACTTGGGGACACAGGGTGTCAGGGTATGATATAATTCATAGGACGCGCTTTCCAAATGTGCTGTGCTTGGTAAGGAAAAGCTTTTAAAGGGAGAGGATTCTCCACTCTGAAAGTGGAGAAGGAGCTGCTGACTATGGCAATTTGAGATGTAATTTGGCAAAGCAGTGCTGCAGATGAACATGTGAACCCAACAGCAGGTGGCTCACTGTCTCAGAGGAACTTCAAGTGGAAAGGGAGCTTAGAGACCATGAGCTCAGCCCCTTCATTTTACAAATGTGAAGAGGAAGGCCCAGAAAGTGACCCAAGAACAAGTAACTGCTGGGGTTAAACAAAACAAAACAAAACAAAACAAACAAAAAAGCAAAGAAGAAACAAAGCATCAGTTTCTTTCTTTTTTTTTTTTCCACGTAGAAGGTTTTATTAAGGGGAGGGGAAGAGGGAATCACAGGGACCATCTCTGGGCAGGGTAGGAGAGAGAGTGAGGAGAGGAAGAGAAAGACATGGTGGAGGAAGGGAGCGCCCTGACAGAGCGAGGGGAAGAGCAGGAGAGGGGAAGAGCAGGAGAGAGGAAGAGAGCACAGGAGAAAGAAGGTGAAGAGCAGCATCAGACTCTTATTCTCCATATGTCACTGAAATCAGAAAGAAGCTGTCTAGAAAATATCCAAAGAGGATTCTGGAAGTCTGTGATACAGAGGTGGGGAGAGATCCAGATGGTAAGAGTTTCTGCCTTGTATTCACAAGGACCTAAGTTCAATCCCCAGCACTTGTGTAAAAACAGCCCTGCTTGGGGGTGTACGCAATCCCAGTGCTGAGGAGATGAAGATGGGTAGATCCCTGAGGCTGTATGGCAAGCCAGCCTAGTCTATTTAGGTAGCTCTAGGTCAGTAAGAGATCCTGTCTTTAAAAAAAAATGTGGGTATTATTTAAGAAATGACACCCATAATTGTCTTCTAGCTTACCCTTACACGCACGCACACACACACACACACACACACACACACACACACACCCCACACGCACACACACACACTCGTACGTCTATGATGTGATGATAAATGGTTTCTACAATGGAAACCATTCAGCCATATCACAGGCATGCCATTAAACAAAGAGCAGCAACCACTGAACACTTTGAATGTAAGCACTGTACATGTCAATATAAACATGAAGACATGAACAGACGTGCAGAGATGGGCTGGGTTTGAGATTACCATGTATAAACTGACTGCCTGTTCTAAAAGATTTGAGCTCCAACAAAGAAAATTCAAAAGAACTAAAATCTATTCATAATTAAAATTAACTTTTAAAATGTGCAGCCATTTTCGCCACTCCAAAGGAGGTGGGGGTGGGGACCAAGTCACCTTTGAGACACTCCATGCAGCATCTCCATGCTCAGCAATGATGTTTCAGCATTGGAGTCTGAGTTGCTGCAAAAACCTATTATCGTGTTAGTAATTTTAATGGTTCTTATAGATGCTGGCAAAGTACTACAGAAATAAATGCTGAAATGCAGTTAAGGATGTTTAGAACAGATTGCTCATTTCCAAACTACCAAGGAATGGGTAAGGAAGAGGAAATAATTCTCCACTGACATATACAATACAATTAATTTTCCTGGCAACACTAATCATGATGAGGGGCATTTGTTAATGACTACATTTAAAAGAAAGGAATTTGGAGCTGTAACAATTATTAAACAGATTTTCGACTAAGAAGTGAGAAAACAAATGAAATCACAGACCAAAACCAAAGTAAACACTGCCTTTATGAATAATTGTAGAAACAAGGGATCACCAATAAATTAGTATTCCTCACTAAATTACACAAAAGGAACATCCTTCCTCCAAGAAACAGCTCAGACTCATGCTCTGAAACACAGAACAAGCCTTATCCCCCAAGCACTGCCTTCATGAGCTCTGTCAGTTTCCAATCTACAAGCAGAATTTGAGTGCCAAGAAGAAAACGCCCATCCCCTCGTGTCTGCTGTACTGCAGACCCTAGCTGCTTCTCTCTTAGTTTTATTTGCTGAAAGAGAAAAAGATAAAACAAAATGTCTAGGATTATGGTCCCAGATATTGAAAACTATGACAGGATGGGCCTTTAGCCAACTACGTTGTTGAACAAACCCGTCAGTATATACATTAACTTAACCAGGACATAGAGCATTCTAAAACGTATAAAGGGAAAGTACAGACTGAACAGTATCAGGAATAAAAACCCGAGTTCATCTGTGCACTGGTCCCCAGCTCACTCCAACAAATAAAACAGTAAAATTTGAAAGTCAGGTTTCGTGGTGTCTTTATGTGACAGCGACATCGAGTAAAGAGGAAAAAAAAAATCAATTGTATGAAATCACATCCTTGGAGGGAGTTTTTATAAGGACAAAGCAACAACTTTTACCTCATAGAAACAGAGCGCCTAAGTTTCACTTGTTTTACAAGCGGCCTTCTGACTTAGGAGAAAGACTTTGGAAGGTAGAGGTGGGGGAGGGGAACTCCCTTCCAATGACTACAATCCATCAAGCCATTACAGAAAGGAAACAAAGATCTGACTGCCCACTGGCGTGGGGGAGGGGGACAGAAAAAGACGGAGGAGCAGAGGCACGCACTGGCCAGCTGCAGTGGCCACTGACCGGGTGTCCAGAGCAAACACCACGGAACACAGCAGCGAGGGGAAGAAGAGGGCAGAATGGTGGGACAGGTGGCCAGAGTGTTCTAGTGGTTCCCCTGACATGTTTGTAAGGGGCGAGCTTCCACATCAGCCCTGATTTCAGACCAGGAAGGAAAAGGAATTGATCAGGGAGCCAACAGAGACCTGCTCTGCATGGCATTTGATCACGGAAATGGATGTGCGTGTCTCTAGCACACTAGGAGCAAAAGAAAAATGCATGTTCAGCTGGCACACCCAGCCACTTACCAACTGCCCTCAGAGCCTTTCACTGCCACAAGACTCTCTAGACACTGGGTCCTGGAGCCTCCTGGGAATAATCTTCCCTATGACTGAGAAGTCTGAACTCAGCTTCTCTTTCCCTGCAGACATTACATGTGCCTGACTCAGTCCTATACCCAAATCATATGGGACCTCAGTCCACCCAGCCTCCCCTGAACAGCAGAAAGCTCCACAAGGCATATTTCTATTTTCAGTCATTCTACTAACAAGAAGCATTAAAGTTGCTTCTAATTAATTGCCTTTTTAACATAGTTGAGGCAAACAACAAGGCTTCTAAGTTATCAAAAATTAACAAACACAGCGAGACTTGGTAGGGTTTCAGCAGTGAGCGTTTCACTGTCTCCAGGGCTCAATGCCAGCATCAGCCCTGTCTGAACACTGGCACCCAGCCCTTCTGTCGTGCCTGTGCTACTTCCTGGGGGCCCCAGCACTGTCCTCCCCTGCCTGCCACCTCACACAGCCTGGAACCTAAGCTGACTCCCTGAGCTGGTATTTTCACATGCCTCATACTCCCCTCCTCTGGCTGATGGTCCAGTCTATTTAGCACACCACTGAGGAAACACGCTGGGTCAGCCTGTACATCCAACTCCCAGCCATCTTGGCGGGCATGGCTGGATCCATTCTTGTACTGCAATTTCCCTCCATTCTGTGTTCTCACAGAATTTACCTGCCAGCCTTTATCTTCCTCTGCCTGTGTCTGTTCTCTCTCTTCACCATAAACATGGCTGCTTCTCACCACTATATGCTGCCACAAAATGGAGTGACTGTGAGTCCATAGGTCTTTTTTGCAGCTTCCCTTTCTACACTGAAGGATAGCTTTAAAGCGTAGAGCATCTAAGTCCTGATTTCCAAGTGCATGGCTAGATAGGAACACAAAAGCAATGCTTCAAAACTGAATTTCAGAATCTTCCACTACCAGCCTCATTTTGACACTTCTCCAATGTTGTCTGAGTTTAACACCTCTAGATTTTTCCCTCACAGCAACACTCACCACATCCATCATGGTAGCCAAAGGGAATGATCACCTATAGCTCCCAACATGATGTCTGCCTCATAACAAGACCTGAAAGGCAATCTTATTAATATAGTTAATTTTCCCTCACAGCTAAGTCTGTCAAATGCTGCACTTTCCATCTTTTACCTCTTCAGCTACCACCTTGTACTGCCTCTGGCCCCTCCAACATCGATGTTCCCTATCCCACTCAACACAATGCGAATTCATCTCCAAGCCTCTGGTTTCTCGCTCAATTAGCCTTCCTAGTGTATCATACGGGAACTTTATCACTCTGACCTATAGATTGACATTGACTCCAGCCATTTTAACATTAAAGTTCCTAAAATAGTCTTCACTGTGTCCCTTTAGACA